ATACCGGAGCCACTGCATGGCTCAAGCCATTTTCGCACCTTCATTTCAACCTCGTCATCAGCGAAACGTCTGCCACGTTTCTCGGCCCATTTATGAACCGCTTGACGCGACAGACACATCCCACCGCAAACAGAAAACATATCTTTATGAATATCCTTTGCATTGAGTCCTTTTGCCCCCGCAGAAAAACGCACACCAGAACTCTGCTCCTCGGTANGAGCGGATGTGAAATAAAATTCGCTATATAAAATACATCGTGAAGTTATTTGTCGCGATATACGCAAGATACGTCACAATATCTTTATGAATATCCTTTGCATTGAGTCCTTTTGCCCCCGCAGAAAAACGCACACCAGAACTCTGCTCCTCGGTAGTACATACTCAAGCACGGTCGCCATTTTGATTACTGAAACCATATGCGCATGCGCGTCTGCTACCTACACTGCCATGAAGCTGGAGTGTGCTGCTACATAGTGATAAAGAAAACCTGTTACTTCCATTACCGCTGTTTTACTTCGTTTTGTGACATATTTACTGACTCTCACTCATATTTAGAGTTCGGAAGGTACCCGATTGAGTCCCGGACTGGATACCGAGTATTGTGGTTGGGCTTTTAATAGTTCTCCTCAGTCATTCAGGCGAATATCGGAATAGTACTTTGAAAGAGGCCACGTTCGCTCTCCGTCTTCGCCAAATACGATCGTTCTTTTGTATCATTCGATGCCAAAAACTGCTATATCTGATACAGTGTCGTTAATCCATCCACGAAAACTTCAGCTATGACAGACGGTTTCCGTGCTTAGAAACTAAGTCGAGACCATCCGAACAGAAAGCTTTAGTTCATACCACCCACCCGTCAGATTCCGTGAGAGAAATAGTCCTTTTTCGTAAATAAGTTTAATGAGATCACTTAAGTTAAAGTAATTCAAAATTCCAGAATGCGATAAGAGTCGTGTATTTACCCTGCATCGTCAGTGTGCCATGGCAACTTGTAAGTTTGCGAAGTATTGCGTCAGGTACGTATAAGTTTCATCATCATCTGCATGTTTTGAGATTTGGGACAAGAGCTGAGCCTACTGCGCAGTAAACCGACCTACGCGTTAATAATGATGAAAAGGTGTATCTAATTAATTGGTATTAGCAAAATCCATCAATTCATCTGTCTGTCTGTATATGGATTTGTTGGTTCTTGACCGTTTTTCAGTTTCTTAATCCTATACACAGTCGGTAGGACTCCTTGGACGGGGGATCAGCCCTCGCAAGGCCTCTACCTAAACACAGGACAATACAAACAGGATAAACGCACACGGATATTCATGCCTTGAGTGGGATTTGAAACAAAGATCCCAGCGTTCGAACGAGCGAAGACAGTTCATGCCTTAGACCGCACGGCCAATCTGATCGGTGATATTAGGAAAATATCCTTTAAATTTCGACGGTAAACACTATGTATTTATAGCTTAAGAGTTTTCTAAACTTATGAAAACAGAGTTTATTGTTGAGTTGTTTTGGGCAGCTGTGCCCAATAGATTTACTTAGAACTCAAAATTGTTTTACCGTTACAGAAAATTGGAATTAAAGTAAAAATCTGAATGGGCCCCTAATTCTGCACTTTCTTTTCATTGTCGGAATAAGTACATATACATTTTGTGGGCACATTTTTAAGAAAATTGCGCCTAGTATCGATGCAACCGTTTCTTCATCACTCACACGAGAGAGGGATGAAGTATATTATTTGTTCCCTTCATTTGTCTCCCTGAATAAATTTAGAAAAAAGATCTTTCGCTGGGGAGGTCTAACATTTGAAACAGGTGCAGAATCAATGCCGGACACACAATTCTGTACATGCTTATTTTGGAATATTTTCGAGAAATGTTAGAATTCTTCAAATTTGTTACCATTTTTGTATAGGACGAATAATAGAGCTGCTAGAAATCTAGAAAGATAATAGGTGATTCCTTATGTCCCAATAATAGTATACTACATTATACGTCATATTTTTAAGCGTTCTGACAATCCCTGTTGGTGTTTGGAACATATTTGTTAAATCATTCTCTTGAAACATTTTCTCAGACAGATTTATGGCTGAGTTGTATTGTTACTTATCAACTCAACTCCGCGGTATTTAGTCCGCAAGCGAATTATACCGGTCGAGCGACCGCCGCTTGTCGGAGAAGTTAGTGCCAATTTTTGCGGATAGAGAGTGTCGCGTGGTCAGCGCGAGGGGTCCCCAACAGCCGTTAAACTCGATTTTCTAGACCGCAAACACAAATTTTGAATTATAGTAAAGAACTCCTGCGTGGAAGTCGTCATTTCTTCTTTTTTGCAATTTGCATCTCCCGTTCTACTTTATCTTTCTGCGCCTGGTCCTTCCAGAACGCATCTTTATACTTTAATTGGTTATTAGTGAAGCTTTTTATTAGTTGCCCATTTTGAAGTTGAGGGACGACAAAGGCGTAGGTGGGTGGACAATAATAAAATGGAACTTAGATAGATAGGATGGGATGATATTGATTCGATTGATCTGGCTTAGGATAGGGACCAGTGGAGGGCTCTTGTGAACACGGAAATGAACCTTCGGGTTCCATAAAATGCTGGGAAATTCTTGAGTAGCTGCAGAATTGGCAGCTCCTCCAGAAGGGCTCAGCTCCAAGAGTACGTAAGTAAGTGTTTAATAGCAGAGATAAGCAGTGTCATGCTGTGTCATGTCGACAAGTTTGACGTGTAAACACACGGCATATGTGCAGGACGGTTTAGTCACATTAGCACTTTCATACATGCCCACTGCTGTCTGGATTGGCCGATCAATTTCTGCAGAACAAACACGAAAAGGACAGGTTTCTCGTCCCGGTAGGCAGATTTTTGGCGTGTCCAAGTGAACATTCGCATCTTTTACAGACAAACGATTGTGCGAACTCTTTCGACGAGCTGAAAACGAGACTCTGCAATGGTTCTGCACATGGCAGTGGCTGTGTTAGTAATACTGTTCCTGTACTACTGGATGAGTGCCAAACCGAGGAATTTTCCACCTGGTAAGATACACGGCATAGAAGAGAATTTCTGGAAATAATTGACAATTTTTTAGGGAAAAACATACTAATATATTCTTGCATGTTACACTAATAACGAGATAATATGGACAAACGTCTGCCTCCTTCCACATCCTTACCTTTTCACATCGAACGTCACACTAGAGTGAGCAATACTCTTGCCTCGTATTACGGAGGTCCTGAGTCGGGCTTCGACTCGGAGACCGATTATCCTGGGTGAATACTGCGTGGTTTTCGCGAATTTGGCCATGAAGATAAAACAAAACAAAAAAGAACAAACTCCGTGGCCTGTAGTCCGGAAGCGGACTATACGGACCGAGCGACCGCTACTTGTCGGCGAAGTTAGTGCCAACTTTAGCGGATAGAGGGTGTCGCATGGTCAGCGCAACGGATCCCCACGACCGTTAATCTCGGTTTTTAAACCGGAGCCGCTATTTCCTCGAAATAGCTCCTCAATTATCCTCATGAGGCTGAGTGGACCCCGTTCCAGACCCACTACTTAGAAATTCTGGTAGCGCCAGGGATCGAAGCAGGACCTCTGGATCTGTAGCCAGGAATTCTGACCACTAGACCACAGAGGTTATTTGTGATGAGGTAATACGGACGTAATATGAATCCTTCGTGGTTCCACCAGGACCTCCATGCGTCCCTGTGCTTGGCTCGCTTCCCTTCCTGCCTCGGAAGCATATCCACTTGACCATGTCCGGTAGCTGGATGGAAAAGTATGGACCCATCGTGGGTCTGATCGTGGGTTCGGCACCAGTAGTAGCCGTGGCTGGACCTCGCGAGGTGATGGATGTCTTGCGTAGGGACGAGTTCCAAGGCCGACCAGATGACGATCATATCCGTGAGAGGAACTTCAACAAACGACTTGGTGAGTTGATATTACGATGTGGGGTTTGGCTTGTACCTTCTTTGTTCCTTGATGTTAAGTCTCGGTGGGGTGTGGTTTCAATTTGTCAGATCAAAGAGGATGAGACTGGAAAGATATTGTCACGTGTTTGAGTGATGTAAGGTGCGGGTTTGGCTAGGTGAGTCGATATAGTGAATAGTCACAAGGCGGAACTGTGATTAGTTGTCATTCTTTCAGTCTTACTGTAACTGTAACACTTCGTGACTACGAACAATGATAACAATCTAAACGTTGCTGTAACTGCTCCACATAAACTAACGTCTTCAGCGTCTGCCTGCTGAGTTCCTCTTCTGACTTCTTCGGAATTCTTCTGACTACGGTTTCTGACTTTTCTTCTGACTTCTGTCGATTGTCTGAGTCTTATGTTGCAACCGACGGTCAGTCGGTCAGTCTATCTTGGAATAAAGCACCCATCTGGGACTTAAGACCAGATTTATGTTACTGTCAGACAGTTGCGTGTTTGTTGATGTGGGGAGCCCTCTCTGACGAGAGGCCGAGTCTGTCGTTTACAGTTGCTACTGATCCTCGACAGCGCAGTCATTCTCGGGTTCGAGTCCCGTGGGACTCGCGGTCGTATTTTACTCTCTCAGATTCGAGTCTTCCCTTTTTGTCGCCTCCTACGACTCGCAGGGCGACGGTGGAGGTATTCGACCCCGCCTCCACACGGGATTTCTGTCGACTCTCACGGTTCATTCCTGGTTATAGGTGGCCTCGAAGGGTGTCACTAAACCCGTTTTGTAGCTATGGACGCCTATTCTTGACGCTTGGAAATGTGTTCACCTATTCGTTTCCTAAAAGCAGCTCAGTCTGTCACAATATGTAGCACGTATGGGGGAGAGGACATTGTACAAAATCTGTAGTGAGAAGCTTCTTGAATACATTGGGGGTAAACGGGAGGACGTTAAAATAATTTTTCTTACATATCTTGTACTCTTCGGCAAATATAATTAGAATGATCAAGTAACGGAGGATGATAGTGGCAGGGCGTGTAGTACGCATGAGGGAGAAGGGTTTTCGTGGGAAATCCAGAAGGAAATAGTCTGATAGAAAGATCTAGATGGAGGCGGAATGTTACTATTGTAATGGACCCTCAAAGAAGTAGTATATGATGGTTTCATATTCATCTGGTTTAGGATAGGGATCAGTGGAGCGCTCTTGTGAACACAGTGATGAACCTTTGTGTTGGGAAGTTTTTGAGTAGACGAGAGACTGTTGGCTTCTCAAGAATAACTCGGTTCCACGGAGTCTCTTTAGTTAGGTAGGACGTGTAGGTATGTATGTATGTATGTATATATGTATGAACTAAGATCCATGTGCTGCAGGATGTCAGATGGCGGGCTTTAGTGAAAACCTGGCTATTTCGTGATCAGCGTATGAGAAAAATCTGTATTCCATGGAGACATTTATACCTCCAAGTGTGAGGCAGCGACATTGCAGTTGATTTTCTTAAAATTGATTTTGAGGAGTATTGATCTTGTACCTCAGTGAGAGCCATACAAATGCACGCTAAGTCAGTCTGAACTAGACAAAACACTCACAACGAATTATTGTTCAGGTCTTCTTTTCACCGATGGACCTCTTTGGATTGAACACCGTCGATTCACAATTAGGCATCTGAAAGATTTTGGTTTTGGCAAGTGGAGTGCTGAAGCAGTAATTCTTGAAGAAACAGAAGAGTTGGTGAAAGAAATAAAGGAGAAGAAGGTTGTTCAGGTTAGTCACTGATTTATCTTTCAGCTACTGCTGAGATTAAATCATTCTAGTCACATAATTTAAGAATCTGAAAGAGCAGAATGACAATTCCTCCCTACACAACTTGAACCAAGATAAACACATTACAATATTTTGGGTTTGTAGGACATGACACTGTAGTCTGACATATGGTTACCATCGTTTCTGAGTAACCCATGTCTCTGTGTTTACCCTATTTTACTGTAAGGATGGAGGTAGAAAATTGCGCATACTAGACTGCAAAGTATCATGACCCAGAAGAACATGATACTAAGTATTAACAGAAGGAATCCTCGTACGTCAAACCTTGCAAAACACGCAAAAATTCAAATTTCGAAGATTTCGACATTTGAAACCATTTTCAGATCTGTCAAATTTTTAACATTCCAAAGAAATTTAGACGGTGCCTGGAGTTTGTAAATTTTACAAAATTTCGAAGCCGAATTTCGTGCGTACTAATTTCTCTAATGTTCCCATCATACCATAAAGTAACCTATATCTGTCTCCATCAACCGGTGTACATGTAGGTTGGTACTCACTGGTCTCATGCACCAACCTAACGTAACATAACCCAACTCGGTCAGGTCACGCGGTGTCTGAATGCGCAGAAGAATGCGCAGGCGGGTGAGCGGTGTTCTGATGGCCCGTCTGAGTTAACGATATTGTGGCTGCCACCACTAGAGTCTGTGCGAAGACTATGTTGTTAATTCTGAGTTTAGGAAACCGGAAATGACGGCTTTGGACTGGCCTTCATTGGCATCCCTTAACGTGTTTCCTGGAAATCAGTCAAAAGGCTTCAAACATTTGTGCTTTAGATTTGAACAAATTTCTGACAAGGGGCCAGTTTGGATTCGATATTCTAAATCCTAATTTCATCGAGCTGTTAGGCACATATTCCGGTCTAGAAAAACGAGATTAACGGCCGTGGGAATCCGTTGCGCTGACCACGTGACACCCTCTATCCGCAAAAGATGGCACTAACTTCGCCGACAAGCGGCGGTCGCTCGGTCGCTATAGTTCGCTTGCGGACTACAGGCCACAGAGTTAGACACATATGAATCCATATGTGGACTGGGTTCCCCATGACTCTTATGTCTAGTTCTGGGCAGAATAAGGGAATGTAATGAATGGGGTCTGCTTTTGTTGGCGACTCCAAACTTGCATATCCGTTGAAAAGTCCCGGATTTCCTGACTAGCTGTGTGAATGTTAGTTTCACAGAAAGATCTCTGTCCCACGAAGTGAATGATTACTTATATCCTCACCATAAACACGTATATCTTTAAGAGAAGGTCTCCGAAGTTAACTGGAAATGAGAATGCTTTGGCTCCAGAGTCACTGCGGCTATCCACCGAATTCGAACCCTGTTTGTCGAAGTGATATCCAGTCACTTCAGCCCTTGGTTTAGGATGCTGGAGTCTCTATTGTACAAAATGTGAATACCCTGTTTTAGGATGGTAGGCTCATCAGCCTAGCAAGATTAAACACCTTGATCGCGGTTACTGGACTGTATAGTGTTCCAACAGCAGACGTCCCGTTTAATTCACTCAACTCTTCACTGTTCTACAATAATAATTTCCTTTTAGGTTTCTGGACTATTTAATGTTGCAACAATAAACGTTTTATGGTCGATGATTGCCGGCACCAGGTATGCACACGACGATTCTGATTTCAAATTATTACTCCATAAGCTGGAGTTCTTGTTCCGGTCGGGTTCAGCTTCCCGAAATTTGGCAGACATTTTTCCAGTGCTGAAGAAAATTGCTCCAGGACTGTGCGGGCACCAGAAAATAATGGAGTCATTCAACGAACTGAAGAATTTCTTCAGGGTAAGTTCTACAACAACATACTAGAGGAAATGTGATATAAAGGTAAAATAATTATTTTTGGTATAAACCTTGTGGGATATAACGCCGTGTAGTCCGTTAAAAGTCAACCGACGTTTCGGAGAAACATAAGTAGAGCTCTACTTGCCACCTGCTTTCACATTGGTTTCTTGTTCGGATTTTTCTTCGACCCTGAAGATTGGGGCGACTTGTTCTCTGAAACGTCGGTTGACTTTGAACCGACTACACGGTGTTATATTGCAGAATATAGGACTCTATATAACCACCGCTGTGAGGACCTGAGATCCTAAGTAATCCTAATATCATGATGGACTCATTCGAATACATGGTAATGAACGCTTGAATTTTATAGAGACAGTGGAGAATATCTTGAATAGCTGCTTTCCAAGAACGTCTTTGTTACATGAAGTCAAAGTGAATAGAGTTCCATCTTCTGTGGAAATCCTCCAGCAAATTGAGCCCCGAGTCCTGATTCGCCTGTGAACTTGAACATCGCGAATAGCAATTGATCGGGTTTCGTGATACTAATCAAGGATATTAAGCCAATGCTTACTATTTCATCTTCATACGTTTTAAATGAAAACAGTACCAACATGCCGGAAGATCTGGCAGGTGGTGAAAATACTAATACCATTCGATTCACAGCAATTTTGACGTCCAGTGGCTGGCAATGCCTGTGTGGTAACAAATCTTGGAAGGAATATTAAGATTAGTTTAAATTAGTAAGTAGGGCCAGCAGACCGTACTGTTTACCAACATTGAAAATAATATGGGCATCAGGCTAATGTTTGGGGGTTCATGATGATAAATTATTAATCAGCGTAACTTTAAAATATTCTGATGATTTATTGTGCGCAGGTGACGGTGGTTGTTAATAATATTGAAGTCACTGATGTATCAACATGTGGTGTACCATCTTGTCGGTATTTCCGTCAGTACTAACGCATCTACTGCAATAGCCAGTTAACAGAGTGTACAGTCATAGTACGAGTTCAGGATCGTTTGTTTGCTCCCACAGAAGACGATTCACGAACACAAGCTGATGTTGGAAGAAAATAATCCAAGAGATTTCATGGACATTTTCCTGCTGCAGATGGAAGCTGAAAATGTTGGCGAACATTCCACCTTCACAGGTATATTCTTCCAAATACTGAACTTATCCTGCACAATATGCCTAAGGGAACTAATTAGCTTCACACGGTAGATCTTAGAAAGCTAAAAGTCACTCAGCTTATCAGTATATTTGTTAGGCTTAACGGACCCGATGGTTGATCGTTGTTCACGAAAGCCAACAGCTGGGCCATATTCTGATCCAGATGAATCCATTCCACACTGCTATATTACACTTTTAACATCACCATTAATAGCATCCTCCCATCTACACCTAGGTCTCCCAAGTCGGATCTTCCTCTGAGGTTTCCTAAGATTTCTTGTATCTCATACTTGCTACATAACTCCAGCTTTGATTTTATAATAGTCTGTAGTACAGTCTTATATTCTGTTGGGGCGTGAACATTCAGAACGATTACTGTATCACACCAGCGACCTCGTAGTATTATGTACGACATCGTATCAGTAGCGAACTCTTGTCACCAAAATGCAGGGCAAAATCATGACATAACAATAGAAAACAGATGTTTTGAAAATGTGGCACAGTTCACATATTTGAGAACGGCGATAACAAATCAAAACTTGATTCAGGGTAAAATTAAGAGGAGATTGAACTCTGGTAATGCTTGCTACCATTCAGTGTAGAACCTTTTGTCTTCTCATCTGCTGCCCAGAAACTTAAAAAATAGAATATACAAGACAATAATTTTGCCTGTGGTTCTGTATGGGTGTGAAATTTGGTCTCTGACATTAAAGGAGGAACGTAGACTTAGAGTGTTTGAGAATATTTGGACCGAAGAGGGCTGAAGTGACAGGAGGTTGGAGAAAACTGCACAATGAGGAGCTTCATAACTTGTACTCTTCTCCAAGTATAATTAGAATAAGCAAGTCAAGAAGGATTAGGCAGGCAGGGCATGTAGCACGAATGGGGGAGAGTAGGAATGCATATAGGATATTGGTGGGAAAGCCAGATCGAAAGAGACCATTGGGAAGACCAAGGAATAGGTGGGTGGACAATATTAAAACGGATCTTAGAGAGAGAGGATGGGATGATATGGATTGAATTGAACTGGCTCAGGATAGGGACACGTGTATAGCTCTTGTGAATACGTTAATGAACCGTAGGGTTCCATAAAATGCTTGGAAGCTCTTGAGTAGCTGCACAATTGGTGGCTTCTCAAGGAGGGCTCAGTTCCATGAGTGAATGAGTACAGTCCTGTCAAATTATATGGTTCATGAAATATTTACATTTATTTTCAGTTATATCGATTTCTCGGGATTTATGAAATATGATAACAATCTTCTGCAGCACCCCAGATTATTCAGTCTCAAGTCTCTCCCCTTTGTACTGGCTTAAAAGCTCAGATCCCTACTTTCAAATCTTGTTGGTTGCACAGAAGAGGGACTCATAATCCTTTGCCTGGACCTGTTTTCTGCTGGAGCGGAGTCGGTGGCAAATTCCCTGGGTTTCTGTCTACTTTACATGGTGCTGCATCCAAGGGTACAAGAAGCTGTCCAGAAAGAATTGGACACGGTTATTGGACGCAGCAGAAGGCCATCGTCAGAGGACAGAGTCAGGTAGCAATGTGTACTACATTAAATACACGTAAATTTAATATTCGTATTATGAAGTGTAATGAAAAATCTAAAAACTTTCTTGTTATTGGAAATCTGGAGTTGTGGCAGAATCCATACAGCCCACATTCCTATTGCACAGATATGTATTCCAATAGATCTACATTACTCTGTTTGTACTGTCATTTTTATTTGTATGTGTGTGTGTGTGTGTGTGTTGCTGCTGCCATGAATCTTGTTACCTCCGTAGCTGCTTATTTTGACATCCTCATTTTGGGGCCTGTCAAATGAGTCTTTACCCATGGCCATATAATTAATGTTGCCAACTTAGCATTGGTTCTGTTTCCAGATTTTGCTTAATGTCATGTTTTACAGTTTGATCTAACCCATGCAATGTTACAGGTTACCATATGTGGAAGCAACAATTGCTGAAATATCTCGAATCAATCCCATTGCTCCAATAACAGTGCCACATACAGCCATTAAAGACACTGAACTTGGTGGCTACAATATTAAAAAGGTACTCTATGATATTGCGTTACCAGTTATCTGTCTGGTGTACTAATAAAAGTATCCTTTAGAGGAATCTTATTCGAATATTTCCCATTATATGATAATCTACAGCTGACTACTAATATTACTTCACTTTTCAAGAATTACTTGAGTTGTGGTACAAGCTTAAATATTACATCAATGAACACTGGAAATTGGGTACATTTACTTTAATAACAATGCATTTCTTCTAGTTCTGTCACTTACACGCAGTTTTCAATATTTCCATAGAATACAACATTCATCGTGAGCATATGGGGTGTTCTGAACGATCGTGAGCACTGGGGTGATCCTGAAGCCTTCAGACCAGAGCGGTTCCTTGACGCAGATGGAAAGTTTTTTAAGGACGAGTGGTTGATTCAGTTTGGTGCTGGGAAGCGAGTGTGCCTCGGAGAAATTCTGGCAAGAAGTATATTGTTTCTTACCTTTTGTACTCTCATGCAGGAATTCAAGTTTACTATTCCTGAAGGAGACCCATGTCCCTCAACAGAGGCTCTTCCAGGTTTCACAACAGCGCCTGCACCTTTCAGGGTGGAGGTGACAGAACGGTAGTTTGTCACATTTCACTACGTTAATTGCTAAGGCAGGAAGTGCTTGATTTATACAGTGATATACATACTGTGGGAAATGCATGTGTTAGAGAGCATCAAGTGAGAAACGACAGAAAGATTATGGATGTTGGAGGAAGTAGATTTTGAAGCACTGTCCTGTCATTTGGCTGAACAGAGTGGAAACAACCACAGGAAACCTTACCATAAAAGCCAGGATTCTGGACATAATTTGACTGTTATTGCGATTTTAAAAATATGAAGCAGAGAGTTAACAGCTGAAGAGCATGTGAAATCTGGAGCTCCAGTGAATGACTATTGTATTGGCATCACAAATAGAACAAAATAAGCAAGTTAAATATATCCCCCATCATTTTGAAAAGTCAGTGTCTAAAATAAGTCTGAGAGGCAGTTGACTTACCAGGGTAAATGCTGAATATACACAACTGCACATTCTGCCTTTTATTTTCCATCTGCTGAATGGAGCACTTAACACACCAACTGTGTTCATTAAACGTGACAGATTAATACAAATGTGTTTAGGATTTAGAGTGCTGGATAGAACTGTGTATGAAAACTAAGCAGGTGATAGCTATGTGCATAATAAATTGAACTTACACATTGTTGAAAAGCTTGAAATATTATTTTACAACATTAAGATTCCCTTGTGCAAAAAATATTATAACACATAATTTAAATATTAACTAAAATAATATTGTAAGATTTGAGGCTTTCACGGCGGTGACTATGAAGAAAGCAGTCTTCTGGGATTTGGCACCGTGTAGATGTGGTGTTAACCGACGTTTCGGAGGAACGTATCGCCTCCCTCTTCAGGGTAGAAGAAAAAATATAAGAAATCTGCAAGCGAAGAGACCGTGAGAACCGGTTTTACCGGTCTCTCACGGTCTCTTCGCTATTACAATAATAAAACCGTGATGACCAGTACTGAATTTACTGAAGGGGTGCTTGCAGGTGGTGTTGATTTGACAGATGTGGAGGGGAGAATACTGCTGTAGGATAAGGGGTAGAATCTACCAGGCTATCTAAAGTGGGTTAAACTCTGTCGAGACATCACTGAAGAACAACCTAAGGGTAGTTTGATGTGACTGACGTGCAGGGAACAGAATTTGCCTGAGGGGCTAAAGAATGCTCACGATGTTAAGAAATCAAGCCTAAGGTGGAATTTCGGAAAGTGCGTGTGATTATGCAGGTGAAACTTGCTTTCTGCTTATTATGGCAATTGTACATATAAACAGATGTGCGTTTTTGTAACGGAATCTTTATAAAAGTTGGATAAGAACTTAATTTCATTGCCTTCTGTAACAAATGTTAATAAATTTGATTTGTTTCATTCTGGTCCGTCACACTAACTATTATGAAAGATAAAACAACTCCGTCCAGTGTGACTGTTGATGTTTTTACTACTTCAATTCTTCAAACCCTTAACATGTTTCGGTCCCTATAGATCATCATCAGAGGGACATCGATACACTTTGGAAACCACTATTACAGTGGGTGTTCTGAATGTCTTGTGTGCGAGTTATGCAGTTATAAATTCCTAAACCCTTTAGATCTTCCCTTATGTCATCTTTCCATCTAATCTTAGGTCGGTCCCTCTTTCTCATGGCGTGAGGCTTTTTTTCCCTTGGCACTACAACCCCAGTGGGCATAGGCCTACCTCCATGAACGTCTCCGTTCACTCCAGTTTTTCTAGATCTTACACATTCGGTAGGACTCCCTGGGTGGGTGATCAGTTCGTCGCAAGGCCTCTACCTGTAGACAAACAGAGAAAAACGCACACAAACATCCATGCTCTGAGTTGGATTCGAACCCACGATCCCGGCTTCCGAGCGAGCGAAGGCAGTACATGCCTTAGACCGCTCGGCTACCGTGACCGGCATGGCGTGAGGCTGCCAGTCATATATTCTTTTAACTGTTTCTTCCAGCCTCCATCCTTGAGATGTGTCCAAACCAACTTATTTTTAGGGCTTTGATGAAGTTAAATGTTCCTTCCTTTTATTAGATTATCTAGCACACGAATATTATCAGTGTGATAAATTCGCTAGCAACAAGCGTTGCTGCCTGCTGACATATGCTAGAGGGAAATGGACCAGTAAGCAGAGACTGGGAAGCTTTGAACTTCATGTTCCCCACCATCCATGGAACTTCTTTCTGTTACCTCAGTATAGATAGAACATATACTGCGCAGGTCGTGAAAGAACATTTTAAATTATTGGATATGAGATATCTGTAATAGCTGACTAAAGCGATTAAACAAATTTGTTCATTTTACTCCGGTTGTACCTCGTAAAATTACGCGTACTCTTTGCATTGCAAGTGCTAGCTTGAGGCGAGACGATTTTACGAGGTGGGGAGCAAAAATACATAACACACACACACACATTAACAGGGAATGAGCGTCACTTTTGTGTGGGAAGCGGGACTCTCTGGGAGAATAAAAAATATCTCACTATCAGAACTAAATATGTATATATTTGTTTTTAGTATTAGGCTTCTTTTTAGATTTCAGTTCATGAAATTTAGTGGTAAAAGTTCCGAGAAAAGAATATAGTTTCTAAAGCACTTCCTATTTTTGTTTTAATTTGTGTTTTATGAAATACAGTATTTTACAAGTACAATTTTATTTTATGTAAAAGTCCATTGATGAAATGGGTTACGTTGTATAAAACTTAAATTTCGAAAGCCAGAAAAATGCATCTTTTTTTTAATTAACTGCGTATTTACAATCTGCTCTCTTATTGTGGAGCATTGAGTAAATCTGTTCGTGAGTGGCATGAGTGGAGCATTCATCCTCTGATGAATCTCCTATCAGTCCTGTAGATGGTTGATATTGTTTGCCGTGTCTTCAGCGGTTTCGTGGAGGTCAGTAGGCCATTGCCGTTTTAGTCTCCTTGGCACCTTTGGCGGAGTATTCAGGGCCGCTATGAGTTTGTTGCTATGTCCATCTAGTCGTGCGCTGTATAGTCTCGACAGTCTGCGGATCTCGTCACTGACGAAAGGAGTTTGGAGGTCGTTGTGAAGAGATAGGTTGGACACATACCAGGGTGCATCTGCGACTGCTCGTAGGATTTTTGACTGTATTCTCTGTATGATACTGTATTCTCTGTATGATAAATGCATCATTTAAATTGCTTTCTATTTACGGTGGTGGAAGTCGCTGTTACAAGATTACTTCTATAAAATCAATTTTCAACAAATAGATTAAATTTTATTTATAAGTTCTTATACAATCGCTAACTGTTCTTGAAGACTTTGGGGCAGCAAGACGCAGTCACGCGCCTGTGACTACATAATTTTTAAGCCTTTATGATGTTATTTAGAAAATTCGAAGACCCCTCTTCTCGTGTTATACGTACGAGTATATCAGTCACGTAGTGTTTCCAATACGATACGTTTTAGCGTAGTTGGTTGAGGCACTGTGTTACAAGCCGGAAGGTCGCGGGTACGGTTCCGGATGAGATTGGATTTTTCAATTTGCCTAATCCGTCCATTCGCACTATGGCGCTGGGTCGACTAAGCCTCTAACAGAAAGGAGTACCGGAAATCTTCCTGGGAGTAAAGGCGTCCGGGGCGTAAGGCTGACAACTTCACATTCATCTGTGAGCCGATTGCGTAGAAAATATGGGAGCCTCGACGTCTCACAACCCTATGAGTCCCCACGCCCAGCTACAGGGATAGCTTTAGCTTACCTTTTATCATTACTCTCTTTAGCTTGTTTATGCTTGTTAAGCTACCGGAAGTTAATTTGCAAACGATTTAAGGACAACTCACCTTCACCTAGCGTCAGGGTTCAGTGTGCCGGATATTTACCTTAGCATCTCCAACACGCGGCAAAAACGTGGTGCTTCGTACATGGAACATCTTCATCTTCTGCCTTCAGATATACTTTATATGAAGGCAGAACTATATTCATTTTAAATTTAACTATTTGCTCTACCAGGAGACTAGCTATCCTTTGGATCCTTAGGCACTGGCAAGAACGAAAAAGTTGTACATCAATGGACTGAAGTTTGCGAATGTAGAACCTGAAAACGATGGGAGAAAAGTGCGCCTTGGGCACATTTGTAATGAGAGGGAAAAGGTAAACTCTTCAAGAGTTTCTAAATGCGTTGAGATTATACGTGTCTGATTGATTCCATCTGCTGCAGATACAAGTCTGTTCTGTTCAGAGTTAATCAGTAACAGGAATGCTATATATACTGTTCAAAGATAATGAACAGCAGAGATAAGCAAATCACGTAGACACAGATGATGCATCCTTTGTGTTGCGCTCACTGTGAGCCATAGTAAACACAGTAAAAAAGTAAGTAAAGATATCCCTGTAACAGGCCGTGGAGGCTCATGTGGTTGTGAGATGTTGAGGTTCCCACAGTTTCTAGAAAATCGGCTCACAGATGGAGGTAAGGTTGTCAGCCTTACACGCCGGCCGCCCTTTACCCCCCAGGAATAATCCTGGTACTCATTTCTGTTAGAGGCTGAGTCGACCCCAGGGGCATAGTGGGGCTGGAAGGATTAGGTCAATTGAAAAAAAAAAAAATTCCACCTCATCGGGACTCGAACCCGCGACATTCCGTCTTGTAGCATAGTGCCTCAACCAACTACGCTATCGAGTGATATTCATGACAAATTGAAATCGACAACTGGTGTGCTAACCAGTCACTGAAATATTGTAGTATCACATTCCACATATTGGAACAGATATATTCACCACGTTATAAATGTTGATGAATGTGTCTGAGAACGATAATTTAAATAAAGACACTTCTAAATTTTTCGTAACAAAGAAATTTCAGGAAGTGCGGTACGTATTCAGGCTTTGGGGAAAACACTTATGCTCCTTAGCCGTCTGAAAAACTACACAGAGGCAAATTCACGCCAAATAATCTTTTATCGTTGCTTAACTAACTGCCTGCATTGGGGTTCTTATTGACATAGAGACGGCTGCCCAACCAGACAAGAAGCTTATAGGGAACTCGTAGGCTCATTACCTGATCACAAGACCTAACGAAACTTGAAAAGTTGAAATGTAAACTTACTGCTTGCTTTTTAATTTTTTCTTTAATTCGCATGGGGAGGGGGTTGAAGTCCAGCTAGGTTCACTCGGCACGTCGGCCACTGATTGGCTTATGGTAACTGCCCCGGGTGATTATGATGATGGAGAATTTGGTGGAATGAAGATTGGCAGGGGAAACCGAAGTACTCTGAGCGAACCCGCCCCAGCGCCACTTTGTCCACCACAAATTCCACTTGACGAGACCCGGGTTCGAACCCGGGCCGCCGCCGTGGGAAGCCAGCGACTAACCGCTTGAGCTACTGATTACTTTCTGTAATTGTGCGTTCTTGGTAAAAGCTTTATCAAGTGAGCGCAAAATATGGAGGTAATGTTTGTCTGTCAGTCTGAATGTCTGAATCCCGAAACTCGTCAAGTGATTCGGAGAAAGCTGGTATTCGTGTGTATACACCAGAAGCTCCTAGGAGTGCATACAATTTTGGTTCATTTGTTGATAAACCACATTTTACATAAAACTCATCCTGACCTTATCAAAATTTCGTAAAAGGACTTATCGGACGTAAGAATTGCGCATGGCATAGAGATATATGTGTTGATAA